AGTCTGGACCAGTCCACACAAGAGATCCACTTCCTGGACACTACAGTGGAAAATAAGTGATGGTAACATACCAGAAACCTATACCAGAAACCAACTGACTGCTATACTTACCTACATGCCTCCAGCTTCCATCCAGGACACATCACACGATCCATTGTCTACAGCCAAGCCCTAAGATACAACCGCATTTGCTCCAATCCCTCAGACAGAGACAAACACCTACAAGATCTTTATCAAGCCTTCTTAAAACTACAATACCCACCTGGGGAAGTGAGGAAACAGATTGACAGAGTGAGACAGGTACCCAGAAGTCATCTACTACTACAGGACAGGCCCAACAAGGAAAATAACAGAACACCACTGGCCATCACATACAGCCCCCAGCTAAAACCTCTCCAGCACATCATCAATGATCTACAGCCTATCCTGGAAAACGATCCCTCACTCTCACAGACCTCGGGAGGCAGGCCAGTCCTCGCTTACAGACAGCCCTCCAACCTGAAGCAAATACTCACCAGCTACTACACACCACACCACAGAAACACTAACCCAGAAACCAATGCCTGTAACAAACCCCGTTGCCTACTCTGTCCCCATATCTACCCTAGCGACACCATCAGAGGACCCCACCACATCAGCCACACCATCAGGGGCTCATTCACCTGCACATCTAATAATGTGATATATGCCATCATGTGCCAGCAATGCCCCTCTGCCATGTACGTTGGCCAAACTGGACAGTCTCTATGTAAAAGAATAAATGGACACAAATTGGACATCAGGAATGGCAACATACAAAAGCCAGTAGGAAAACACTTCAATCTCCCTGGACATTCTATAACAGATTTAAAAGTAGCCACCCTTCAACAAAAAAATGTCAAAAACAGACTTCAAAGAGAAACTGCAGAGCTACAATTCATTTGCAAATATAACACCATTAATTTGGGCTTGAATAGGGACTGGGAGTGGCTGGCTCATTACAAAAGCAATTTTCCCTCTCTTGGTATTGACACCTCCTCCTCAATTATTGGGAGTGGACCACATCCACCCTGATTGAATTGGCCCCATCAACACTGTTTCTCCACTCATAAGGTAACACTCTTCTCTTCATGTGTCAATATATTTATGCCTGCATCTGTAATTTTCACTCCATGCATCTGAAGAAGTGGGTTTTTTACCCATGAAAGCTTATGCCCAAATACATCTGTTAATCTTTAAGGTGCCACTGGACTCCTCGTTGTTTTTGGGGATACAGACTAACACAGCTACCCCTCTGATACATGGAGTCACACTGCCTTCCAGGTTGCCCCTGGAACAGCACGGCTCATGTTCCATTCAGTGCTCAGGGCTATGCCAAAAAGCACAATTTAGTCTTAGTAGAGAGACAAGGTGGGTGAGGTAATATCTTTTATTGGACCAACTTCTGTTGGTGAGACAGACAAGCTTTTGAGCTTACACTGAGCTCTTCTTCAGGTCTGAGTGTCACAGCTAAATACAAGGTGAAACAGATTGTTTAGCATAAGTAGTTATTTAAGTCATGTTGTAAGAGACCACTCAAGGTGAAGTGGCCTGTTTACAGCTCTGCAATCATAGGACAGAAAAGGGAGGGTTAATGGGTTACAGATTATTGTAATAAGCCATAAATCCAATGTCATTATTAAGACCATGATTTTTAGTGTTTAACAAAGTTATGAATTTAAGCTCTCAGACTCATCTTTTGAAACTGTTGTGCATGTTTCCTTTGAGGATGAGGACTGATAAGTCAGCCATAGAGTGATCGTTATGTGAAAAGTTTTTGCCCATGGGTGGAGATGGTGCTTTTGTCTTTTATTAATTTCCAGTGTGAGTTCATTAGAGAGCATAATGGTTGTCTGGTTTCACCTGCGTTGTCATTATTGGGTCATTTAGTGCACTGGATGAGGTACACCACATGTTGGAACTTGAAAGGCGTGTTGCAGGGGAGGTGGGGGAAGTATTGATCACCATAGCAGTGGAGATGTGGCTGCAGGTTTTGCATCTGTTGTTCTGGTAGGGTCTGGCACCTCTTTAAGTAGGTGGGTCCTGGTCTATGGGGAGTTTGCTTCTGGAGTTGAGCTTGGTGAGGCTGGGGTGTAGTTTGAAGGCCAGAAAAGGGGGTTCGGGAGAGATTTCTTTCAGGCTATTGACCCCATCAAATACGAGAAAAGCAAGGACAATACTCTCAGCAGTCACTGTGATCAATGCTATTTTGCCCATAACACTTCTCACTAGTTCTCTCTCACCTCAGTCTGCTATCCTCCAGTTCTCTGATGGGGTTGTGACTGGATTCAGCTAGGACCCACCAAAAAAAGTGAGTTGGATGAACCTTCAGTGAAGCTCCTTCTACACTGCAAAACGTACTGTTCATTTTACATGCCTCAGTTACCGATGAATTCAAATGAGGATTGTTCCAGTAAGATGCATGTGGAGGAAATGAAGGCAATTTTCACCACAACAGACTATCCTTCCAATTTCTGAACCCCAAAGCAACTTCAGTGAGGCGCATAACAGGTATGCAATCTATTAGTATCTGATTTTTAATGATATATTAAGAAAATAGTCTAATTATATTTTTTATTCTTTCATAACTCCCTGACCTACACATTCAACTCAGTTCCCTTCTGGAATTATTCCCAAGTGAACCATTAATCTTTTCTAATGAACTTTATCAATTCCAGGTCTTTGAATATTTATACACTTGGCAGACAAGGAGCAGAAGATGTATTGTGGCTCTCTGATTTAATAGTTGGTCTTGCTTAGCTGTCTATGCTTAAAAAGCCTCCTTATTAGTAAGTAAGATACCAGATACAGTGAAATGCAGCCAGAATGGGAGGCACTGAGAAATAGTTTAAATTCTAGATCCAGTCATCACACTGTAGACATTTCTACAGATTTATGAATATGCCATAGACAGAAAATTTCTCAAAGTGTCAATGTTTATTTTCTAAAGTTTGATCCAACTCCTACAAATTATTTTCTAGCCATATAAATAAAACCTAACTGGAATAATCTTCTGACAGATTTTGGAATGCAAGATTCATACAATAAACTTTTTTCATATAAGTGGCACTTATACATAAGGTATTTTATGATGGCCTTTCCCTAGGAGACTTTAGATTTCACCTTTAAAATATAGGACATGCAATTAAGGCTCTGTTCTTGCTGTAGAACAATAGTATGTGAGCAGATGCTCCTAGAGAATATCCCTTAGATTTGGGGCAATGGTGTTTATTCTTGGCCATAACCCTAACAGAATGGTGTAGGAGGTACTGCACCGCAAGGTGGCAAGAAACTCCATTTTTCAAAGTTTAAATTAGCACCTTCGTTTGAGCAATGAGCATGATCAGGAGAAGTATAGAGAGACACTATTAGCAGCCTTCAAATATTGTCCTATGAAATTAATGAGGGAGGTTAGTAATAATCACAGTGGCACTGAGATGCAAGGCAATTAGTCACAGCTACTCAGAGAAGAATTGTGTAGATGTGTGTGTGTCTGTCTATCATCAGGAAGGTGAGAGGAGCTCAAATCTTTTGCATTGAATGTAAGTGGTATTGGGTAACAGAAGAACAGACAAGTGGGTTGTTTATTAAATTTTAATAGAACAGAATCTTTCCCCCTGATGGAAATTCAAATAATTTTACGTGATGTCTGACTTGATCCACAAGTGCAATGATCTTCAGTGTCAAGCGTGGACAGCATTGTTAACAACTACATCAGCTTGAAAAAATTCTTGTCTTAGTCATTCAAGCACATGAAAAACAGTGGCATTTTTCAGAGAGAGTTGTCATTTGATTTTTATTCTTCAGAATGATTTTTATAACATTTAAACTAGCACAAACTTCCTGCACAAATTTGAAATAACTTTGAAACATACTATGTTAACAAGCTACTGGAGCAGTCCCTTACAGCTCAGTGTTAGGTGATGAAATTGCATTATTAATAGTGTCTCAGCTTAAAGATGATTGGTTAACTAGTTCACTTGCGTTCTGCAGCTTATTGGTTAACATGCTGTAAAAGTTGCTGGGGAATTTTTCACACATTTTAAAGAGGCATATGTCATAGTTATATCACAGTTTTGACATGCAGCCTGCCAAAGACTGATTTGCATTGTGTTGAGAATCCACATATCCACCTGTACTCAATGAGAGCTGCAGATACTCAGCACTTCTGAAACCAAGGCCACAGAACCCTGGGATAAAACCTAGTTTTTACTATCTGAACATGAGATTTGTGTTGTAGACATTAAATATTGCAGTGCTGTATATGTTCAAAGTCTACCACTGGTTTTGGCTCTGATGTGGCTTTCATCTTTTGTTTGATAGACATCAAAATGCATAAGTGACATATATTGAATTTAAATATGCCTATTAAGCTTGTGACACCTTCTCCGGGGTTTAGACACATACTATGAAGATAAAATGCACATTTACAGAGCATCAAGGAACAATCTAACAAGTCTGGAAGTTACTTTACAACAAAGTTATTGGCATGCATCACTTTCCAATTTGACTATTTCAGAAAATGTACTCCAGTTTTCAGGTATATTTACTGAAACTTTGTTAATTATTTAGATGGGAGGAAACTAATTTCTTTCTCTACTCACACTGGAATTCTATGGCTGAAGTGGGAATCAAACCAGGTTTCCTGAGTCATGCTTTAATCACAAGACCATCCTTCCTCTCTTGTTATTGCCTGGGTGTACAGTCAAATACAGATTTTTGTACCCTGTGTTTTCACTCTGTCTCATGGAGAATTTACTTTTGTTGTTTTTTTGTTTTGTTGTTCTGAGATACGTGAAGTATGAATTGGGGTGTGTGTGTGTGTGTGTGTGTGTGTGTGTGTGTGTGTGTGTGTG